GGTTTTGCTGTCATGTGACGAACCATATAGCAGAGTGGGTGGGTAAGTGCTGCCCCCTCCTGTGTAGAACAGAGGTCAATTGGAAAGGATCTCAAAGATGTTCTATCTTCTTCTGCGGGCCGTTCTCTCATGTCAGGAGGGGTTGCATCTCATGACACGACACCAACATGACACCGACATGACACCGACATGACACCGACATGACACCGACATGACACCATCGTGTCAAGCCCCAGGCTCTGCACCTGCTCACTAGGTCAGAAAATAAAGTTTTCATGGTGACTTTTGCACGCCGAGGGCCTCAACAGACCGCTTGCATTGAGCAGCGGTGCGACGTGGTTTGTGCTGTGCCAGTGGTCTTGAATTCCCTTCCCTCATCCATCCACGCTGTCGACTCCCCGCCCTATTCAAATCCTACTTTTTTCCCTCTGACTAAAGCTACCGATTGCCCCCCTCTCTCTTAAAATAACTGTGCCCACGGTGTGCGCACGGCCTCTCTCTAGCATCGTGAGACGCGGTTGCGACGTAGGTGCTACGTATGTCCAGGTTGTGCCGCTGGGGATGAGGCGTCAGGGTGCGGAGTGGCTCACCGGTCCCCGACTATGTCCACCGGCACCCCCCGCACCCAACGGCGAGCCACCCTGCAGGGGCAGCGCGATCGCAATTTTTGTCCCGAAAGAAGTCGGGCCCGTCAACTTACGCACAGTGAGTGACAGTGCCCTCTGGCTCGTTGCAAGTTATCCCTCAAAACGGGAGTTTTTTTGTGGAATTGTCCGTGCCATGCCAGAAGAGACCGGGGATATCCCCGGGTAACCTCAAATCGGCCTAAGGAAAATATATCTACACCTCGTAAAGTTAGTTTAACTTTGACGAATGGAGTGCCAAAACCAACTGTGAGACTTTGCAGTGTCACCACTCACCCAAACGCAAGTCTGGACTCCATGCTCAGAAATGTCATTTCACGTTTCATGTGGTACCAACTCAATAAATCACGCCAGCTTTACAACCATAAGGGGTATGATCTCCAGTCCAGCACAGTGTCAGACGATAATGCCCAGAAGCACTTGTACTATGGATTGTATGGACACAGGGCACAAAAGAAAGAGTGCCTCGTGTTCACAGCAAATCGTTAGCATGCATCTGTAAAACATCTGTCTTAGTTTTTGCTCAATACAAGACAGCAAAGGCAACACAGGTGTCACGCTACGATTTTTTCCCTTGACCCAACGTACCCGGTTTTACCGATTGAGAAGTCACAGCGAGTCACGGAGCTTTCCCACTCGAATGAGCTTCCAGCATCGTTCATCTCCATTGCAGCCCAGTGCCAGTGGCGGAAATTCCATATTACCATGGTGGGCACCGCTCTATCCGTGAGAACAACACTGCCGACTTCCACAAGGTTGTACTCATTTTATCAACGCCATAGGGATGGATGTCTGAGCCAACGCTCCGGCCGGGATTTGACCTCGCAAGCTTCTGATTGAAGTGCTCTGTTTAAACTCACAGAAGAGTAAAAGCCGCTCGCAGCTTGATGTGGTCCGAGTGCACCGTCCATCACGACAACGCGGGGGATCGGAATGAGAGATCGCAACGGGGCAACGGGCAAGCTCCACCACTCAACCATTCCCTGGGCTCACGGTCAGTCGTCTGTTGTCCCGCAGCTCAGATTCGCCAAGTAAACAACTTGGAATATTTATTTTTTTATTTTCGGAATATTTTGTTTTGTTTTATTGTGCTATTGGCATTGTGGCACGAGACAAATGCATCAATTCGGATCTCTCGTAGAGAAGTATCCAGAATGGCACACGAAACTTGACATGACAAAAATACTTCTGAGATTCCTTCAAGTGACCTCTGGCACATACAGTGAGGGGAAAAAGTATTTGATCCCCTGCTGATTTTGTACGTTTGCCCACTGACAAAGAAATGATCAGTCAATAATTTTAATGGTATGTTTATTTGAACAGTGAGAGACAGAATAACAACAAAAAAATCCAGAATTACGCATGTCATAAATGTTATAAATTGATTTGCGTTTAAAATGAGGGAAATAAGTATTTTACCCCCTCTCAATCAGAAAGATTTCTGGCTCCCAGGTGTCTTTTATACAGATAACGAGCTGAGATTAGATTTATAACATTTTTGACATGCGTTTTTCTGGATTTTGTTGTTGTTATTGTCTCTCACTGTTCAAATAAACCTACCATTAAAATTATAGCCTGATCATTTCTTCATCAGTGGGCAAACGTACAAAATCAGCAGGGGATCAAATACTTTTTTCCCTCACTGTACAGTAGGAGGGGAGCACTTTTCTACCTACTCTGTCACTGACAGTGACGTCCACCGCGTGACAGTCCACTCAATACTTCACACGTTTAGAGATGGTGATGGGGCCAATCACAGCTTTAACGGGACACAGCAGCACCAGACCGCCATCACCCGATGGCTGAGCCAAGGCGGAGAGCACCTTCCCCTACGCCTGGAACATCTCCACTGGCGGCCGCAGAGATCCCACACTCGCTTGGAAACAAACACGGCATCCGAGTTACTGCGGCGCTCCCGTTACGCCGAGCTGCAGCTGCTCCAGACGTAACCGCAAGCGAATAAAAATCTCCGCGAGGTAGCGGCAACCACATGCTGGACACGAGCCCCCTGATGCCGTCGACTATTATTCAGCCAACGCAACATAAACGCACGGGCGTTGTGGGGCTTTCTTGCGTGTCGTTAAAAAATTTAAAGAAAATGTTCTTGTGCACAGTGACCACATCGCGGCAGATAGTTACGTAATGACACACGCCCGGCCAGTGCCCACAGCATGGGTCTGATTAGCATGCCGGAGGAGTTAGTTTACCAGAAACAGATTTAGCAATGATTTATCTACGATTCATCTATGATTTTAACAACAAATGCATTCCCCACCATTTCTATCTCCATCAGGTCAAAGTTTGACGTCGCTCTGGGAGAGGCTACACTGTTGACAAATCGTCGGGCCAACGCGAGGGTAGTGGGTGGCTCTTAAAGGCTGTCCTCATCAAGGCGCTGCCGAGAAGAACATCTGGAGTGTTGGGGTTTGTCAAGATTAGGTTGCCAAATTACAAGCAACACTGACATTTTTCTCAACACGCCGTATATCATTGCAACCCTACAGAGTGACCTTGGCTTAGCGGTGGGACATACAGACGCGCTCTCGGTGGTGGGGGCACGACACAGTTAATGTTAAACCAACGTTAAACAAATGTTCATGCTAAGAATTTAGGAGGGGGGTTGAACAAAGGGGGTTCAGTTCCCTCCAGCCCCCCCTGCTTCCGACACAATGGGGCTATGTCATGGTCTTGCTCCTCAACAGGAAACTGGTAAAGAGCCAAAGTTGCAGCACAGAGAATACTGCACGACATTCGAAGTTCAGCTCTGCACCCGGGCACTCCCGGTCTCATAAGATCTGGGAACCTAAGCAGGGTGGGTGGAACCTGGATAGCGCTTCGATGGGCGACCACCATGCATAACGGATGGTATAGACTGCTGCGGGGCCACGTTGAGGGCAGTGCAGCAACATCTATTGTTGTACTCTACCTCTACGCTCCCACATCTACGTACATGGCCACACCTGGCTCTTCTGACATTGGCCATGCCCATTGCTCATAGGCCCTGCCGACTGCTCTGGCTTTGCCCACATCACGAGTCATCTATGCAGCCAGAGGAATTTAACCACGAGAAAATTCAGATTGTCGCAAAAAAGCTTTGGCACACCGGGACAGCCTTTTCTGAAACCACCGGGACTGTCCCACCCAACTCAGGACGTCTGGCAGATTTTCACATACGGTATCCTTGCTACTGAAAGCAATAAACCATAAAAGGCCCCACACGGCGCTTGTGCCGCGACGACTGGCAATGGGAATCCTTCACATCTTTTGACTTCACGTCTCGTGTGTGAGCGTGGTGTCAATGAACATATCATCTATGGATTGACCAACATGAACATGTCATCGCGACAACCATTATACCATTGCAACCATCATTTACGTTGATGTCTCAATGGTTCTGTTCGAATAATTAGAAGGTTGGAACAATCCATAATCGAGGTTCTTGGGTCAGAGCGCGTAAATATAAACGTGTCGTGAAACCCGCCACCACCCGACACAACCAATTAGTAAAGTTTGTCATGTAGACAAAACGTGCCAATTCATTACTAGTTCAGCACACCCGTGTGTTGGGGAGTAAACTCACAACATTTACAATTCGAGTACTTTACTTATTTGGCTTTTGGGTGATGGCGGTTTAACGACACATTTATATTTACGCGATCTAACCAAAAAACCTCTATTATGGATAATTTTGATAGGTGAAAGCCTCCATGCTAAACAGGTTGGAACAATATTACATTTTAAGTCAAAAGTAAATTAAATCACCCAGCACAAAACTAAACTTATTACCATGCGTAGAAATAAGTCCACCGACTCCAGTGGCAGACAGACAAGCTGAGCCTGGCAGACCTCACGAGGCCTTCCACAAATAAGGGACTATGGTATAGAATTACTTATGCCACCGCTCAAGAGTTGTAAGTGCGATTTAGGATAAAATTAGTCGTAACTTAGAGTAAATAAGCGAGTTTTTACATTTGGCTTCATAAAGTTCCTGTAAATATTACAAGTGGCTGTTGTATCCGATAATAATTACAACTATTTAATAATTACAAAATTATAATGAACAACATTAAGAATGAATTATTCATATAATACAAGTAATCATTCATATGATCAACATAAATAACATGAACATACCTCACCCGCACACCGACTGAAGCGCAAGAAGGCATATTCGGATATTTTGCGAAGTGAGTGTCATATCATGATTCGTTTCTGGAATAGCTCAGCGAGTAGCCGGTGTAAACAAACCCCCCCCCCCCCCCCGTTCCGCGAGGGCCCCGCGCTGGCACACCTCGAACACGCGCCGGTGGAAAAAGTGAAATCCACATTCCGAGCGGCACCGCGAGACACACGTACCCAGGGTGGTGTCCTTGCCCGTGACGGAGGGTCCCTCCCCGCTGGCGTAGACGCCGCTCACGGACAGCTCGTACGTGGTGTCGGGCTGCAGCCCCGTGAGCTGCGTGGAGCGCGCCCCTCCGTCCAGCAGCCTCTCGCCGGCGTCCGCCTCCGACAGCAGCGAGCGGTAGGACACCCGGTACGAGGTGACGCGCCCCGGCGCCGCCTGCCATCGCACCGCCACGCCGGTCTCGCTGGCGTTTGTGCGCAGGCCGTGCGGCGGGCCCAGTTCTGCGAGAGCGTTGCGCGCACACCGCCGCGTCGTTAGTTTCACACGAGAGCGGAGCACGCGTGCAATGGACTGCGCTGGACTGCGCTGGACTGGCGTTGACTGCGCTGGACTGCGGTGGACTGCAGGGAATTGGACTTTCAGATACCTTTGGTGGAGTCACGCATGAATCACCGCGTCTCAGTCACTTCAGTCAGGTAATGGTTCTTCCCTGCAATAGCTCGCTCACGCCACTGCCGGTAAAATGGCCTCCGCAACGGGGAGCTCGAGAGAGCCTCTCTGGGGGGTAACTGACCTTATTTTACACGCTGGTAATGACTTGCCAAGTTACCTGCCCATCGACCAGTCTATACTGCTCAGTGTATAGGCGTGGTGGGGAGATTTCAACTGCGATGCCAGGAGATTGAACTGAACTGGCGACCTTGTCTGAGTGCAGTGAGCTGAACATTAAACTCCAACAAGTCAGGTCGAGTCAATTTTTATTTCTGCTGAAACACATGGCGCCTTGCTGGCACAAATCTGGCACTCAAAGCACCAGTAACCCACTTATGTCTGAGCGTGCTAAAATTAGAAACAAAGCAATTCCAGCTTGATAACTTTCCCCCCTCCATTACCTAATTAGCGCAGCCAAGACGCTTGCATTGCAGGACAAGTGGGAAAAGTCACGGCCTCAATCTGGGCCATATCTGAAATTAAGGTTTGCCCAGCCGTGACGTCGAGGCGTATATTGAAACACAGCCGCCTTCTGCCCTCGGAACCTCAGCATCGCTGACCCCCTCACCCTCCGCTAGCCCTCGAGGCAAAAACCCGTGTGGATAGTGCAGGTTCCCCCCGATCTCGTACCGTAGCATGGCACCGACCAGCGTGGTGAAGTATGGTCAATCAACCCCCATGACAAATGCGACGTGGGGAAGCTTTCAACCAGCAGTGTGGTTTGATTAAGGGCTGTAAGTTGTTGCGATTCTTATTTTATTTTCTCATCATCCCATTTAACATTAAGTGGCAGAAGCTTCGCTCTCCTGGTGCTTGTCATCAGCTGGGCATGACGTATTCCTATCGCTTGCAAGCCACGTCGGCTATAGCCGGCGTGCCTATGAGAGTTCGAGTGAGACGCACGGCGCAGACGTCTCACCACGGAGTCTGCGTTCCGCAGCCAAAGGCCATCTCCGGCTTAAGGCAGAATTTAGGGAGCCGCTTGTTTTACAAGAGGCTGTCCAGGTTAATAGAGTGCAACACTAAGACATGACGCCGCATTTGAGCAGCTTGAGCCCATTCCAGCAACTAACGGCCCTAAACATCACCCAAACACACTCATGGTCTGTGCAGCCTGACGATCGATGCTCTCATCTTCCTCAAGTGGCTGTGCATATGCAGCAGCCATGTGTGAATGGATGGACTGACTGCCGCAAATACGGATGGCCAGACCCATCAAAGGCAGCAGGATATACAAACGGATAAACTGGTTTGCGTTGATGTCCGATAGACCGCGCGCAATCTGCGGCTAACACTGAATCTTGATTTACTGTGACAAAAGTATTACTCTCAATTAAACACTCTAAATTAAGTAAACTATCACCAGGAATGTTCCAACTGTATATATCTCAATGCCAGCCGCGTTTTACTGACTAATGTGATGATTCACGGAATCCCAATGACGTAGCCGCCAAAGTCGTCCCATCGGTGGGAAGCAAAACTGGCGGAGCCGTGGCTAGACATCCGACTGCAACAGAGCCGGCCAGCGCCCTGATACCGGTACCTTCTGCGGGACGCTTGCCGAGGCAACGTTCGTGCCTCGGTCCCCGCAGTGATATCCTGGCCCGAGATCCCCCATCCACGGGCTCAGGGAAAAGCACAAACCCACCACCCAGCTGCCTTGGCTAGAGACGGCGCTGGGTGTGCCTAAGCGGTGCCGCGGCAGCTGTGGGCGCGTGGCCCCGTGCCCGGCCTGCGGACCATGACGACGCACGCGCGTTTCGGCAGTCACTTAAGATTATCGTGCAAATAAATTGCGGGTTTTCTTTTTTTTGGCCAAGGCACTCGCGCGACGCCGGTCTGGTGATCGTTAACGAGCAGAGAGCGGTGGCGGCTGCCGTGGCCACGTGCAGAGTGCGCCACTCGGGTTTCGGATCGTCAGTGGTCCCCTTCGGCGGTAGTAGTGTTGTTTATAATCCAGATGTCGGGACTCGCAGTTTGCATCAGCTGCGTGTTTTCCTTGCGAGTAACATGTGCGTTCTGCCATTCACGATGGAGATTGATTTTTCTATTATGATATTGCTCTGGATTTTCCACGTTTCATTTCTTTTAGCCATGACCCCCATGGCCAGTTGCCGTTTCAGATACGCAGATACTCTTGTTCATCTTGCGACATTCTACCAATGAGGATGTTCTCTGAGTAAACTGATTTGTGTTTTTATTCAACATGTTTTCGTCCTGATTTCATCTTTAGGACATTAGAGAAATGATCATGATGACGACGTGATCAGCACCCGTCAAACGATTTCATCTTTACGTTCTCATCATAAGCCGTTTTCTGTTCTCTATTTCATCTTCCTAGGACGCATTTGAAAAGCTTTGCTGTCACATTGTTCAGGGAAACCGATTAGCACTATTTTATTTGGTTAATATTTGTGTTGCATTTTTTTTGCCCATCCTATTTTAGGACCTCTGAGCAGAAGAAGCTGATCTCAGCTTGTAGACCACATCCATTCTTAAGTCTGCGTCCGTTAACATGTGCTCGAGGTGACATATGAAAAAGCTGACCCCATCTTCACCACTTGCTGACACCACGCCATTGGCTCTCCAATGTGTTTTCATGCTGCACCGCGTGCTGTCCGGCATGATGTCCGACGTTTCGCGCCACACGCTGGGAGCTCGTTTCGTTCCTCAACAAGCTCCAGTAGGCGGACTGAAACGTCGTGCGACTTACAGCCGAACAACACGCGGCACATTGGCGAGCTGAGCAGCGCAAGCGCAAGAACCTACGCACTCTTTGGTTTTATTCGGTAAAGTCACGTAGGTAAAAAATAAAACAACAAAAATCACGACGTTTCGACCACGACACAAGTGGCCACTTGTGTTGTGGTCGAAACGTCGTGATTTTTGTTGCTTTATTTTTTACCTACGTGACTTTACCGAATAGAACCAAAGAGTGTGGATCCTTGCAGTCACGAAAGCTTTAAATCTAGAAAAGAACCTACGCGCCAGGTGATAAGCTTTGGAATTCCACAAATCGATGGGGGTTACCGATAGGAAATAAAACTACGTTCACTGGAGGACGCTGTTTTCTCTTGTGCTAACATTCGTTGCATTTGGAAGTCTAGATGCAGCCCTTGCCAATGTGCGGGAGCACGGCCTCCTCTGCGAGGGTCCGGCACGGCTGCCTTCATTTAGCGAGTGCTGTTCCCGTCGGAGCGTTCCACCGCTGGTGCTGGGGAAGGGGATACTCAATGCGTGGCTCTTAACTTTCGGCTCCCTTGGGCATCTGTTCATTCTCTCACTCTGTTCCTAAGTCTCATTCATTATTTGTTACGAACATAAACAAACCGAATTAATGTATTGCTGACAATTCGACCCCCAAGTGCTTCGTAAAGTAAAACCAAATAGACAGGTCAAAGGATTTATAATTAGATTGTGTTGAATTGGTAATTTAATGCGAAGTAATTCACGTATTTTATCTCTGAATCATAAGCAAATATTTGCCAGTCTACTGCCGTTTGCATGCCCGTTGCCGAGTCCCCAGTGCACTAACAGCTTGGAAACCTCAGCCACCCGGGCCTCTGAGTAACGATCTCTCACTCGCCCTCTCTTTGGGGACGTTATGATCACGCTCGTTTAACAACCAGATACATCAGACCCTGTGCGTGCCAGGCGAGACAAAGACAAAGATCCCCCGTATAGCCTAAACAGACTGTTGGGGCGAGTGTTGTTAGCAAGCACCTATGAAGATCAGCACGGCACACGAGGGGGTGGGTGGCCAGCACCACGTCCGACCGCCTTTGTTTCCCCAGTGGCGATGTTTACACACCGCACCAGGCACTCATTTGAGGCTGAGTCGACCTAGGGAAGGCCCAGCACCGGTTCAGATAATCGTCACCGGTGTTGGCCGTGAGCGGGAATCGAACTCGGGTCGCCGGGTTTGTAAAGCAGCGCGCTAACCGCTGCACCACCGCTCCCCAGGCGAGACAAACACGACTGCACATCCACTGCCCATGGTCCGGATTGCCGACCGCAGAGTCTCGAGAAAAATGCCGGTGAATGAAATTCCAGGTGCCTATGGAATGTTGTATGATGGGTACGACCAGCCTAACAAGCATGAATGTCAAACACGGTTGCAGCCATTTCCGCTGGAATGTTTTCACAGCTCTGCATGGCACCAACGTCGCCACCGAGGTCTGGCAAACTGATGAGATCCAGTGCAGTAGAACCTGGACATTATCGGTGGTCCCTCGCGTACGGGGATGACACACCTTCTGCAGATCATCGACGCGTCCGGAGACGGCTAAAAAGACCGATCTCAGATCTGCATGCTCGGCTGCAGATGTGTAGCTGGATATAAGCACACCCCCTGGGAGGAAGCCCAGCTGTGTCTTGCCTTACCCCCGCAAGTGCAATGTAAGCACGTGTTGCTTATATCGCAGCTGTGCTTTTATAAGGCATGATTATATGCAGATTGCACTGCATAGAGACACTATAGCTCCTTGGGGAGTCACGGTGACAAGACACCAAGGACCTCACTGCAGTCCGCACCCCGGTGACAGACCCATCCAGTCACTGCCGCTGAACAAGCGCCATTTGCATTGCCCTCGAATCTCATTCCCCTGACGCATGAGCTCTTACAACTAATTTGTTATTAATATTCTCCATAACGACACGAATGATTACTTTGTGTTACGTACTTTATGGTTTTGCATTGAACTAGGACCCACATCTAACAGAGGAGACGAATGCTTTTTGGGCAGGTCACTAGCATTAGTTCAAGCAAGCCTGACTCTGCTGATGAGACACTGAAAGTCGAAACCGGTGTTTTTTGCTTGCGTTGAACCTATGCCGCTAAAATAAAAAAAACTATGTTTTTGACGTGGAGAGACAGACAGGGGGAGGGGGAGGCCTGTCTTCTGCCGATTTATCAGAATATGTTTTTTAAAATGGAGGAATCCGATGAGCTACAAAGCTTTTTTCCCCCACAGATGTCCAGTGGTTTCCCATTCGCACCGCACGCCCCGACACTCGGCCTCTACCGCGCGGCTCCTCGCGCGAGTCCTCTTCCTGTGTGCATTTAACGTTGAATTCAATCGCTGCCGTTGTTTTCCACAAGTGCACAAGTCGCAGCTGCTCTCAATCCAAATGGGGCTTTGTGTAGCGCTGTCCGTCTCGCCGTCAGGATATTATTGCACGGGAGCCTACGGAGGACGGAATGAATGAGCGGCCTCTACTCGGCAACGCTACCTTAACAAAACACAGCGGAATTTATGTACGTTGGCCACTCTCTGAGCCAATCTGGAAAGTTCTCTGACCCACAGTTCTTTTATCCATGGGTCCCGTGTTCCTCGCCCAAAATAACATTCCTGATGTTCTTATTTTGCGCAATTGGGGATAGAAAATATTGACCGAGGAATTAATACAGAGAGACGCGGAGAGAGCCATAAACAGGGAAAAGACGGAGGCACGCAGGGACACGAAGGAACACGAGGGGAGAGAGACGTGAACAGTGGAATATTACGGGTGCACTAACTGAAGGGTACAATAAGAATTCTACAGCCACTCGTCAAACCATATCCGTAAATGACGAGAAAAATCCATTCCAATAGGAACATTAGTGCACGTTGGAAAACAAAGAGATTTAACAACAGACACACACAAAGGCGAGCCCTATCCACAAAGAACTGAAAATTTGGCCTTGTTGTTTAGAACCACCGACTCAAAAGTGTTGACAAAATGTGGCCAATCCCAACAGCAGGCAGCAGTGAAACAAAGACACACCCATACACCGGATTCCTCCTCATTAGGACTCATCAGTAGATGTAAGTCATCAACAGTCGCTGCTGCTACAGGCCTCCGGGAGTCCCGTGCAGGCGTCGTCCTCTCCGTACACGACGAGCACGAAAAGAGAGAGAGCGAACCGATCGGCCACGGCCACGCACCTTCCTTGGTGGTCTCTTGCGCCCGCGCCGCTTCCCCGCTCCCCGAGCGGTACACGGGGGTGACCGCGACGCTGTAGGCGGTGTCGGGCAGCAGCTCGGAGAGGAGGGCGCGCGTCGTGTCGCCGGACACCTTCAGCTCTTTGGGCGCCGGCTCCCCCGCCGAGCCGCCCGGCGGCTGGGCCAGCACGCGGTAGTGGAGCACGCGGCCCGGCGCCGCCGTCCACGTGGCGAGCATGCTGCGCGTCTTCACGTCCGAGAGGAGCAGCTCGCGAGGCGTGCCGGTCACTGAGAGACAGTGGCAGCAGGCACGGGCACAACGAGGAAGCAAGCCGGTGATTAATCGCAGACAGGGCACACACGCACACTCACCACACTGGAGTGGTAGTCAATTGTAGAGCACGCACGCACGCACACTCACCACACTGGAGTGTTAGTCAATTGCAGAGCACGCACGCACACTCACCACACTGGAGTGGTAGTCAATTGCAGAGCACGCACGCACACTCACCACACTGGAGTGGTAGTCAATTGCAGAGCACGCACGCACACTCACCACACTGGAGTGGTAGTCAATTGCAGAGCACACACGCACACTCACCACACTGGAGTGGTAGTCAATTGCAGAGCACGCACGCACACTCACCACACTGGAGTGGTAGTCAATTGCAGAGCACGCACGGGGATGAGGAGCACACACGCAGCGAGCCACACGCTCACGACATTGGAGTGGCATTCATTGTGGAGCACACACCAGGACGAGCAGTACGTATGCAGCGAGCGGGTGATTACAAATTACCCCCACTCTGCCCCCCACCCCGCCGCCGCCGCATCATCTGGAGGAATGGAGGCTCAGACAGCCTCTTTGTTTACGTGATTTGTGTTTACGCTGGCGAGGGCCCATTGAGCTAAATAGCTCTCTCTGGACACACTCCACTCAGCCCATCGCTGCAGCTGGATGCACATCAAATCGGTCACCCACGTTCGCGTGTCTTCTGACTGCCCTTTTCTCTGGAAACCTCGACCCTGTTTAACCTCCACACAGTTTAACCTCCACACAGTTTAACATCAACCCCATTTAACCTCGACCCCATTTAACCTTCGACTGTAATCGTCTCTGAGCCTCCAGTGAAACCTCCGCATGTCACACACCTCCAATTAGCACGGTTGGCTATGTACGGTGCGAAATAAGTTCAACATACATACATGCCGCAAGTCCCAAGAATAAACCGATCTTGGCTCTGACCGCTCTTCCTAGAGCCACCTCTCTCTCTACCTCTCTCCGCGTGAAGCTTCTAGATAATGGTGATGCCTGATCTTCTGACCGCCCATGGGGTTCTCAAAAATGGCCGAAAGAAAAACCACAACTCCTTGACCATGATTTTCTTTTAACTGTCAGAGGCCAGCTCACGGCTCCATACAGAAGCACACACAACATCGGGGTGCCGGTTACTGGAGAACACACAGCGGTCGGAGCAGCTGTGCAGCACGCACATGATTATCATCATCGTCGTCAGCCATTATCTATCCACGGTTTGATGAAGGCCTCCTCATGCCAACGTCGTCCCCCATAGTGCTGTGAATACACAATCCATCTCGCTCCTTCGCACGAGCTGGCCTCATCACTCTCTCTCCATGGTGGTCGTCCTCATTCCGTCACCAGCCTCGCCCATCAGCCAACGTCCCTGCTAACGACATGTCCTCCCCTAGCCCTCGTATTTACCATGGACAGACAATACGATGTCTCTAATTCGTGTTTGTTCTCTGATCCATGCGTTGCTCTTCATATCTCACTCGATATAAATCCGAGCATGGATCTCCGCATGCTCCTCTGCACACTTATCAACTACCAATTTACTCTGCCCACGTTTCTGATGCGTCCGGTGTCGCGGGCAGAATGCACTGAATGGCAAATTTCTCGATGCAAACCGATACATTACTTTTCATAATCAGTTTTCCAAAAGCACTACACTCGTTTGCCTCTCCCTATCATGATTTTCATCCCAATCTACCTTCACAATTCCCCTCGGTATATGAACCCCAACGCATTTTCTGGTCATACTGTCCCTCCAATTAAATTGTTTTTCTTTGCGAACGTGTTGCGCGTGACCTTTAACTTGTCCAGATTCATCATTAGGCCATGTTTGTATCCTTCCACTTAAGTATGCACGGATTTATGCAACACAATCGTCAATAATTATAATCCGAGGTTTGCTGTGCTGAATATGCGTGTCCTCGCCCGACTGCTCTTCCAAATTTGTGCTTTGTAACTCTCCACCAATCTCCGTGGCTCCATCTGCACACGTGGTTTAACATAATGTCTATATTTATTTATATTCGGACGGCGGTTTGTGAGTGCTCGAGTGAATGAACTTTCGTGACTGCAGGAATTAATATTCTTGGTTCTTTCGGTAAAGTCACGTAAATAGAAAAAATATAACCAAGAATATGAAACCAACTTTCTTTCGTCCGCAAATGCTCAGCACAGTGGCATTTCGCATTCCTTTGGCTTATTTCTCGATTTATCGTCATGTGGTTGGAAAAAATAAAAAAAAATGGAAACCAGTTTACTCATGTAGTTGGTTGGCTTTTAAAGCATCCATTATTCAGTTATAACGTTCATGAATAATGTGTACACACGATAGGAGACCCATGGGTTTGTTCTTCAGAGTAATGAATGAGGGATCATTATTTCATGCAAACATGTCATTCCGCCATAAACATTTACTCTAAATATGTCAACTAATGTGATTTTGACCGCTGGGTCCCACTTCTTCGATAAAATCCACATTTATTCTAATTTGTCTTGGAGCTTTCACTCTTTTAATCCTTCCAAAGGGCCGCAGTCCCCTACTGCAGGTGAGATATCGAGAATAAGCACCTCCTCCTCGTGGTGTTTCTCACAATGAGGCTACGGAAGGCCGAGGTGCGGAGGATTTTGACCGCTGGGTCCCACTTCTTCGATAAAATCCACATTTATTCTAATTTGTCTTGGAGCTTTCACTCTTTTAATCCTTCCAAAGGGCCGCAGTTCCCTACTGCAGGTGAGATATCGAGAATAAGCACCTCCTCCTCGTGGTGTTTCTCACAATGAGGCTACGGAAGGCCGAGGTGCGGAGGATTTTGACCGCTGGGTCCCACTTCTTCGATAAAATCCACATTTATTCTAATTTGTCTTGGAGCTTTCACTCTTTTAATCCTTCCAAAGGGCCGCAGTCCCCTACTGCAGGTGAGATATCGAGAATAAGCACCTCCTCCTCGTGGTGTTTCTCACAATGAGGCTACGGAAGGCCGAGGTGCGGAGGAGCGGAGAATCGTGCGCTCGTCGCCGCCATCAGCCACCTGAGCTGGCTGCAGGGCGACTCTCCGTGTATCCCCCTCACCCCAGAAGCCACGCGGAAAAAACCTGTCAAAAACCAGGGCCCCACGCCAACTAGGCAGGGCTCATGGAAACATTTTTTACTTTTTCATTTCACCCGTCGTGTTTTTTTTTTCTCTCGTGCATTTTTTCTTGCCGCTTGGTGATACAGAGTGAACCATAAATCGGTTGACGCAACGCATGACTGTCAAAGCCGACACAGCTCAAAGGCAGCTCTGATGGATTCTGTTCTCGTGATGAAATGTGGAAAAATAGGAAGCGGCTCCGCTGTTAGCGGTGACCTGTCTCCTAATTTGTTCATCAAGGACTCTCGGAACGCGCCGAACCCCGGCCGGTGCCACGGCCCCTGCGTGCCAAGACACGCCCACACTCCCGCACGCTCACGCTCCCGCTGGCCCGCCCGCCAGCCGCACCAAGCACCCATAAATGTGTATAGCTCCCCGGTGGCTTTTGAATTGTAATAAAACGCCACCGTATAAATTTTAAAATAATATGTTTTTTACAAAAGCAATCCTCACTGAATCTCGTTTTTTTGTTCAGGAGTGTCCTATTTTGGGGGATTTTAGTCAAATGTGTCTCCCCTTGAGTTTAATGCGCAACACTGGCACCGTTGCCGAGAGTGTAAGGAATAAAACAAGCAGACGGATACGCCTCCTTTCCCATCGTGTGTACCTCCATCGTATACAATGTAAGGATTTTTTTTTATAAATCCCATCAGTCACACGGCGTTATGGGAGTGCATAGTTTCAGCAGCATTGGTTTAGCACAATCAAAACTCTGGATCGGTTTCAATATTCAGTGTCTCGTTAGCAGAGTCAGTCTTGCTTGAACCAATGCTTGCTTTAATAGGCAGTGCAGCATGGGCCTCTCTACACATTTTTCCACTATGCAAATCCTGCAAGCTGGCCTTGGCACGTGCTGCTGGAGGCCTTGAGGAGGTTGTGGTGGGTATGAAGCTGAAGGTGCCCGACGCAGACTGAGACTTGGAGACCCAGGCTCTCGTTTAGCTAGCAAGGCCCATCAAGCTCAGCAGCTCTGTGACAAGGACGACCGTGGCGGGGATGCGGGGCGCCGGCTGCCTCCACCACTGTGAGGAGGCCCACCGAAGAGGGGAGAACTACAACACTCAAAGTGGCGCTTTATGACGCAGCTGACTAAACCTGGGACTTTTAGCATCAGATTTCCTAGGGCGGCAAGCAAGCTGCCTTGCTGGGCGATCCTGGAACACCAGATACGGGCGACAACCCAAGTCCCGCCCGTGATCCAGACATGCCTCAGAGGCACGGTTGTAGGATCTCACAGGCAAAGTCGTGTGCATGAAAACACTCACCTGCAGAGATCTACGGGAAAAAAGTACACCAAGTAGACTGCTAACCGATGAGTGTGGGGTTGTGAGTGATGTCCGTTGTCGCTTTAAGATATTTCTGTGTTCAAATTTTGTCTGTTGCGGTTGCACCCGACTTAAGAGCCGCATGGTTCACAGGGCTATACCTAATAAATGAAACTTGAAAACTTGAAACTTGAAGTGTTGCTGCTCTGCCTTCCTCCCACACAAAACACTTAATGGACAATAAATTAGCCAAACATCTTAATCAGGATCCTCTTTTAAAACGTCCTAAGGCTTTTCTGGTTAAAACAAGAATGATAGTTATCATGGAAATATGAAGCCAATCCTCTGCCTGTTTTCAACACAGCTTTGCTATACTTGCAGATTACTGCAGATTACTGCTGTGTAGTTTCAGTGAACGTACTGCATAGCCCTCTGACGTGTTTTCAGGTAGTTCATGAAGAAGCTCCTGGGCACGTGGAGTGACAAGTCGGACATTGTGTCGAACAACGCGCAGCACAACCTGGAAACACATTGGAGAGCTAATCGGCACCGCTCATCACATGCTCGTGATGGAGTCGCATGGCTGTGTTGTGACGGCACCGCCGAATCACCGCGCCTCCCGGACAGATGGGTAAGGGCCTCGCCACCGCTCTCTTAATCCTTCACCGCACCCTCTCTGCAGCTGTCACAGCTTCATTTAAACCCGCGACGCCGCGGGCTCGCTCGCTCGCTCGCGCGCCCGCTCCGTCAAGACGTCGCCTACCACTGTGGCGCTGTTACTCTTCTATCGGCGCTCGAAGAGCGCCGTCAGCTTCGTCAAACACAGCACCTGGCTGCCTGTATCTCCATAGTACTCGTGCACACGAACGGTAACCAGCCGCTTATTTTTAGGCTGAGTATGATCTAACGGAAGCCCAGGCCTAGGACCGGTTCATAAATTCGTCACCCGCGTTACCCGCGGGTGGGAATTGAGATCGGGCCGTCGGGTTTCGTTAACCGCTGCGCCACCGTACCCCACACACCCACACATAATCACACACAAAGGTCCCCTGTTTGGCCTTACTCGCGGTTGGAGCGGGTGCTGTTAATGGGCGCTAATTAAAGCCAGCACGGTCCACAAGTCGTTGGTGTAGCCACCACCTTCAGCTGCCCAGTACTCAGGCTATCACATCACGTGTACATGCACGGCCCGTTTGTATCAATCCACCGCTGGATGGTGGGCTCCCAACACCCCCGCGGGCAATGAGGGATATTTGACCATACTTCACCGCGTTGGTCAGGGCAGGTTGGTGAAGGTGGGCAGAGTGTAGAACAACGATGGAGTTTCTTTCACTTCCCTCTACTGCCCACAATGCCTACTGCACCTGTGTGTCCTGCGTGTGGTGATTGCCCATTCAAGCGCTATCCAGACTAAACGCCGCTTAGCGTCCGAGCTCTAATGAAATGAGGCGCATTCCGGGTGATTTAATCATGGGCTTTAACATTACATCATGTACATATATAAGGCGGAGTTGACCTAGGGGAGACCCAGGCCCTCTGAATGATGTTAGTCTTGGCTCCACGGGAATTCATCCAGATAACGGCGCTGCTTTCCACACACCTACACGGTCACCACAGACCAAGACGTTCCTGAATGTCACTTGATACCACAGTCGCGGGACTCCTATCGACCCTGAAGCCCGATTACAGTCGACACTACGAAACACTTCCCGTGTGAAACCCCGTGCCTCTGCGGAGAACCACACGTAATTCACTCGCGCAGCTCTATTGCTAAATATTGTAAAAACGCAAACAATACGCACTTGTGCGGGCGTGCGTTTTGAAATACGTTTCACAAAGCAAAATCGGGCACGATACATCCGCTTCTGCCTTTTGCGAGCCGCTCGCCGCGTGCGAGTTATGCACGTTGCTGTAAATCGGACTCGTTACGATTACAATTCATTTGTGACTCGTGTAAACATCCCAAATGGCGTGGCTCCCTCGATTACCAACGGTTCTGCTATGAGGGCAATGCAAGCTGTCAAAGCCCCGTGGCCATCGCTCAGACGAGCCAAGGTCACAGCCCGAATGCTCACACTCCCTTGCACAACTTCCCCGTTTGTATACGCCTCACCAAATAGACATGCCATTGACGTGCCTGACAACAGACACAACGGCACGGCACTACGCCGTGTTTATTTAAGCAAGGCGCTCAGGCACTCGACCTGTCATCGCCACCTCGGTTACATACACACGGTCGCACGTGTGCGTACCTGGTCAAACGATTGCAAGCAGCAGGCACGTATGATGAAATGCGCACACGCATACACAGACAACTCTTCACAGCTTGTGCCCTGCAAATGACTAGCAGCGCAGGGACGGCAAGCGCTGATCAGACACACGAAGAACACACACACAACTGTCTCGAGCAATACCGAACACTCTCCTGCGTCGAGGAACATGGATGCTTGCACACAACCAGACAAGCAGCACACGCGTCGCAGGTGGGGCTTGATGATAATTGGCACATTCCGTATTCACGCCATTCCTATAGCACAAGGCTATCAGGAAAGGAGGCATACTCTGCCAGTAGGCGGCAATGTTGCCGTGTGGTTTTAACCAGCTGGGGTAATTCACTGGTAATTATCAGATTTTTGGGAAATTTGAACCATGACAATGGCAACACATCATCTGTTATATTTTTTTAAAAATGTAACAGGATCTTTAATGTTCACCGTGAGGCAGACGTCGAGGAGTATTGATGGTTGATACACTCGTGATATTGGCCAGGGTGGTCGCTGGGCTCGAACCATAAACTTCTGCAACAAGTGGCGAACGTGCTACCGTTCAGCCCCGTTACTGCCCCAAACATCTCAAACAGGCATCATGCCAGCATAACCCACAGCCTCACAAACAAAGACAATGATCCCCCTTATAGCTTTAACAGACTGTTGGGACAAGTGCTGTTCGCTAGCACTTACGAAGGCCGGCATGGTACACGAGGGGGTGGGTGGCCGGCACACACACACACACGCGCTTGCTTGCTTGCTTGCCCGTACCTTCCAGCGTCTTGCCAGGGCCCTGCAGCTCGGGCCCGTCACCGGACGCGTAGATCGCCACCACGGAGAGCTCGTAGCGCGTGTCGGCCGTGAGGCCCGACAGCAGCGCCGATGTCTGTGCCGCCGGCACCACCGTCTCCCCGGGGCCTGGTCCTGTGGAGCTGCCGGCCGCGTGGTAGCGCAGGCGGTAGCGCTGAACCCGGCCCGGCGCCGGCGCCCAGCTCACCCGCAGGCTGCTCTGGGTCTCGTCCGACACGGCGAGGTCGCGCGCTGCTCCCAGCACTGTGCGCGTGTGGGGGAGGGGTGGCACAGCGTTCAGCGCGCTGCGCGACAAACCTGAAGAACCTAAGTTGGATTCCCACCCGAGGTCGACTCAAGGCTAACCATTACACTACCACTCCCCGCATTACAGAGAACACATCACCACGCATGCGCACTTCTGCGCGTAGGCCTCCCCGTGCTGTGACGGTCATGAGTATTTTTTTACCATACTTCACCACGCTGGCCAATGTGGGTTGTTAAAGGGAAGTGCCCAGGACTGGTTCAGATGACTGGTTAAAATAATTATCGCTTGCCACTGATGTTAGCTAACAATAAAATGTAACTGGAATTGACCCAAAAGAATCCCAAAGCTGAAAGTATGACCTGCGAGTTACTCAATTGGGATCACGCACAGCAGCAACCTCACCCCCGACTTAGAACACCTGGCAGGAATCTCCGGAGGAAAAGGTTCTTGGGAATAAATGTGTGCTGAGCGTTTTTTTTTTTGAATCAGCGAGGCTTTCCTAGGTAAACAAGCTAAATAAAAACAATAAATACGTTTAAGAGCACGCTGGCACATTGATTTGCAAGGCGTTTTCATGCGAGCGTGTTCAATTGTGTTTTTGTTGGAGATGGTCGTGGGACAAATATGACCCGTGAGAAAAAATCCTTTTGGGTAAAAAAATTCCACAGCAACAGTAAACTACCGGCTACCTTCATCGGTGCGACACAAATGCCTTGGTTATTATGCACGAGCAGGCTGAGCGAGTTACTGGAATTTGTGTTCGATTACCTCCAGAAGATTTCCTCCACCTCCCCTTGTAAGGCTCCGCATAAATAAAGAAGCGATTGCAGCCGTAATCTCTGCCGTGTGCTTTCACACGGAGGATAAACAAACATTGCCTGGAGCAGTTATTTCACAACTAGCGGCCCCTGTATGGAACCGGGGCCCTGGCACGTCAGGGACACGCTGACCCCTTCACTAATCTGGTTAAGGAGACATGGGGAAGCTTGGTTGTTTTTCCGTGCCAAACCTTTTAATTCTGAGCAATGATATCACTGCTGCTATGCAGAGCACAATTTTGGCCAAAGTTTGAATCCTGCTGTCCTTCCTGCGGTGGAGCTCCCAAATCTTACTGCACTGCACCTGATCGGGCGTAACGTAAACAGTCAGCGTGATTGATGGTCCAGCGCTCACTGATTAATTCCAGCCACTCGCTGACTGGCGGTCAGTCACCTCCTTATCACTTTGCTATCGCTACTACCACAGTTGACTGTTCCCGCAAACTTCACTCATTTATTCCTTCACCTACGTTGAGAACGTGGTCTCGACCAGAATGTTTAGTCTCATCTATTCTGTGCTCAACCACCACACTGCAGGTCACAACAACACACTCACTCAACAACAACAACGACAACAACCGCCATTCGCCACTTAGTGGCGGTGACATCAACACGTCGCTTGTGCCAGGCTTCGCGCACAACACACTCACTCACTCTGCAGGTCACAACAACACACTCACTCACTCTGCAGGTCACAACAACACACTCACTCACCCACTCTGCAGGTCACAACAACACACTCACACACTCACTCTGCAGGTCACAACAACACACTCACTCACTCACTCTACAGGTCACAACAACACACTCACTCACTCACTCTGCAGGTCACAACAACACACTCACTCACTCTGCAGGTCACAACAACACACTCACTCACTCTGCAGGTCACAACAACACACTCACTCAGTCTGCAGATCACAAAAACACACTCACTCACTCACCCACTCTGCAGGTCACAACAACACACTCACACACACACTTTCTAACTTACCCACTCTGCAGATCAGAACAACACACTCACTCACACACTTACTCACTCACTTACCCACCCTGCAGATCACAACACTTCTTTTTCTGCTTCTTCCCTCGCACTGCTCCACTTTGGAATTCCCACCTCCCCCATCTTAAAGCCCTCATAATAACATTGCTCAGTTTATTAAACGAGTTGTCACTTTATCGATTACAACGTTGGAGAGTGCTATTTGTTGCTGTCCACTTGGCATTTTAGGCCTTTGAGCGCCCGTGCTCAGTAACGGTGGAATAACAACAACAACAATGTAATTGTGATGTACAAGACGTGCTGCCCTCTCGCAGGGCTGGATTCAGTTCACAGGCAGCAGCAGGGTGGCAGCCTGTACACGTGCCTCACAGCAAGAAGCGTGTGGGTTCTATTCCCAACTCGGGCACCTTCCTGCGTGGAGTTTCTCTGGCTTCTCTGGATTCCATGGCTGAAAAAAAGATACCACGTAGTGGACATTGGCCAAGACATCCCAACGTACGTCATGCCCTACTGCGAAAATTTGGCAGGACCTTCCTCCAAAAATATATAGCCTTGAGGGGTTCTCGTGGGTAAACAAGGGGCACGGTAACAACGATCACACCGCGGTGCCACGCACCCTGCTCACCTTCGAGGGTCGTCTCCTCCCCCGTGAGCGGCTGGCTCTCGCCCTCCGCGTACAGTGCGAACACGCGAACCCTGTAGGTGGTGTCGGGCGCCAGGCCCACGAGCCGCGCGCTGCTGTCGTTCCCGGCGATGGTCACAGACCCCGGGGCGGCGGGAGTCGCGGCAGGGTCGGAGGTCAGCGCCGAGTACTCCACGCGGAAGCTACGCGCGTCATCCCGCGCGGCGTGCCACGACACGACAAAGCCGCGGGGCGTCACGTCCGACGTGGAGAGGTTTTGCGGAGGTAACAGGGATCCTGGGGGGACACACACGGACACACGCGTCGTTACTCCACGCTGCCAACAGCAGACCCCTCATAGCTCGAAAGGATAGGGCAGATGCATTGCTGTGGTCCTAAATGGTTGAAGAGACAAGAAATGTCTCTGTTTCGTACGAATTCAATGAATAAGTCTGTGTCTAGATTAGTTAGCAAAGGAAATGGCTTCAGTTGCCATCGATTGGATTCCATGTTCCGGTTGAATTTTCTGCGTTCACAGTGGTTGGCTACTGTGTGGCCCCACATAGAGACCCACATGATCACATAGACGCCCGCAAACTCGCGCATGGTTCTCAATGGGGTTCACTACCGTGTGGGCGATGATCTGGTCAGTGTTTCTGCAATCACATGTGGAGTCAGTTGCACACGCAAACAGGTTTTATTTGAGTTTCCACTTTGTAACGATCGTAGTGGGTGGAGCTATCTTGAGATGTGTGGATTCACTTTACTGCAGACCACTGTTTTTAAGGTTGAGATGAAACAAGTAAAATAACAAAAATGCATATAAATAGGCAGCAGTGGGTCCGTTTCATCGTCAAAACAACAACGAGCCATTTAAACCTATTTGGCAATGGATCTTCGATTTCACCATCAGCGCCTGTTAAAAGAGCGCAAACCTTTGGCTGGACTTGACCTCTCTGGGTATCACCAGCAGGGTGTGGCCCAGGTTAAAATAAATGCCACACCTGCCGGGTGTGCCCAGCGCCAGCGGCCGAGAGCTAACCGATGAACGTTTCGTGGCCACCGGCGAAAGAAGGGCTCATCGCTCGTTCCTCATCGCACAATGCGTAAGGCACCGTCGCGTGTAACCACAGCGTCCTCGAGGAACGACGCACCCCTCCAGTGCATCTCCCCCCCATGTAACAACTGCAAGGCAGCTCTTGACGCGTACGACTCTGGAATGTGACTCCTCGCATCGGCTTCCTACCTCGTGGCGAGTGGTATTTTGCAGAGCGCGTCACTCCACTGGAAACGAAGCAATGGGGTCTCTCAAAATGAAAGAACCAATCGTTCACGTTCACTCGGACGCTATATCGTGATGTCCCACCCGGAACGTGCCAGGTCTCGTTAGATCTCGGGTTGAGCACGGATAGAGTTTGAATGAGCGACCGCTGTGCATAACAGGCATTATAGGCTGTGGGGCTACTTGGAGGGCAGCCTTGTTGTTCCATCTTCACCAACCCGCACCGACCAGCGTGGTGAAGTATGGTTGAATACAGCCCCCCCTGGTGACTCGTAGCCAGGAGTGCCCAGGCGACTGGTGATCTCAATGAACTCCACTTGCACACGGCCCAGGGCATTGCAGGCCAGCATGTGGCACAAAACATCGTGCAAAAGCCGTTTCGGAAGAGACTGTTCCCGAGTGAATACCCAGGCGCGGCACAGCACATGGCCGTACGTGGCGCCACAATCACGAGGACCAAGCAAGAGCACCGCACGGGGAGGATAGAATCTCTCCGTGCCATATCCCGCTTGGGGTACGTAGCACGCTGACGCGGCAGTAAGCAGTCCGCCCCGGCAACCCGGCGAGTGATCTTTGAACCGGTTCAGCGTTACCCCCTTTTACCAGTCCCGCTCATCGTCAACAAGGAACCGTGGACGACCCTGCAATCCACCTGCCAGGGTTCCGAACCGGCCAAGCCCTCCTGTTTCCAGCAAGGTCTGTACTGGTGTGGCTTTACGCACCATGCCAGACTGTAGCCGTCGCGCAAGACGGACGGTGTCGCTAACCAAGCCTCGTGTCGGTCATAGGACGACGACGCTTTCTGCTGCCCGGCTCGGTGCACATGTACATACTAAATAAATAAATACATGCCCCACACTGGCCGTTGTGGTTAAGTATGGTCAAACAACCCCCTTGACCGACACAATGCAGGGGAGTGCTTCACTGAGAAGTGGGTTGATGATGAAGGAATGCACATTATTATCATTTAAATATCCAACTTTGCAAACAAACAACCAAAAAATAATGGTGTTTTTTTACATTCCGACAGAAGATGACTTTCAATTAAAATAGTTATTTCAGTGGGGATGATCACAAACCTGGCTCCCAGATCACATTCAGACAACCCTGAGTCACACACGGGGCATGTTTCACATTCATGAACTTGTTTTCCACATTCCAATAATTCGTAGGTAATCGCGGTGGTCAGCGCATTCCTTGACAATATATTAGTCCTACTTTTGGGTCGTAATAACACGCTGGGTGCATTGCCAAGCAAACGAGAGAGAGAGAGAGAGGACAGAGCTAATTACAGGTAAATACAAGACGGTTAACATCAACACAGCCCCATTCGAGAGGGAGGAGAATTCAGACGGAGTCGTGTCTCCAAAGACACGGAACGACAGGCAGGATGTGGGGCACTGCAAGCAGTGGGATGCCGTAACGAGCGTCGTAATTTGATTTGGAGCTTTCGTGACTGCAGGTTCTTTCGGTAAAGTCACGCAGAAAGAAAAAATAAATTTAATAATAGCATACGACGTTTCGATTGCAACACAAGCAATCATCATCATGTACAAATGAAAGAGAAAACAAACCTAGTAAAATTTTGATTTAAAGCTTTCGTGACTGCAGTAATTCATATTCTTAGTTCTTTCGGTAAAGTCACGTTGAAGGGAAACAACAAAATAATAAAATATATATAAAACAATAAAAATTCTCACGACGTTTCGACCATAACACAAACGGTCGTATTCAGGTTTGTTGGTTTGCATACATTTATTTTTAAACGGTCCTAAATAAACTGCCAAATCGCTGCGCGTGGCGCTAACGTTTTTTTATAAATAAATAAATACACCGTTTAAAAATAAATGTATGCAAACCAACACACCTGAATACGACCGTTTGTGTTATGGTCGAAACGTCGTGAGAATTTTTATTGTTTTTTATATATTTTATTATTTTGTTGTTTCCCTTCAACGTGACTTTACCGAAAGAACTAAGAATATAAACCTAGTAAACTTAGAAATATATTGCAATACACCACAGATAGTCGGCTAATATAACAGTCAACACCCTACCTGGTTGATTACTTTAATCCAAAGATTGATAAATTTGAGAGAGAGACAAAACACAGACACGGAGACACATAGACAGATACATAAGCAGAGAGAGAGAGAGATAACACAGAGACACACAGAGAGAGACACATATAGAGATAACACAGAGACACACAGAGAGAGACACACACATGGGCACACGGAGAAACAACGCCTCTGTGTCGAGGCCTTAAATAGAGAGAGAGGCGCAGAGAGAGAGGGGGGGGGGGTAGAGAAATTAGCATGTCAATGAGAGACTTGGAGCCTTCGTAGCTGCAGGAAATAACAGAGCAACAACACGAGGGCACCCAGAGAGAGAGAAAACACACTAAATCAAACAAACTCAGTAAAATTTGGAAATGTAATGCAATGCAACACAGAGAGTCGGTCAACACACAATTAAGGCATAGCCTGGTTGATTACGTTCTTCCGAAGATTGCTAAATTAGAAGTTAAGTGTGAAATTTTAAGAGAGAGACAAGACACAGCCACGGAGACACAAAGACTGACACACAAGTGGAGAGAGACAACACAGAGACACAGAGAGAGAGAAACCAACCTGCAGGACATACTAGAGAGACAACATAGAGACAGAGAGAGAGAGAAAATACACTTAATAAAAACAAACTTGGTAAAATTAGGAAATGTAATGCAATGCAACACAGAGAGTCGGTCAACACACAATTAACGCATAGCCTGGTTGATTACGTTCTTCCAAAGATTGCTAAATTAGAAGTTAAGTGTGAAATTTGAGAGAGAGCGACAAGACACAGACACACAAAAACCGACACACAAGCAATGACCTGCTAATTTCTCTACCCCCCCTCTCCCTCGATTTAAGGCCTCGACACAGAGGCGTTGTTTCTCTGTGTTATCTCTCTCTATGTGTCTCTGTGTCTCTGTTTTATCTCTCAAATTTAGCAATCTTTGGAAGAACGTAATCAACCAGGTAGGGTGTTGACTGTTATGTTAGCCGACTATCTGTGTTGTATTGCATTATATTTATAAGTTTACTAGGTTTGTTTTCTCTTTCATTTGTACCTGATGATGATTGCTTGTGTTGCAATCGAAACGTCGTATGCTATTATTTAATTTATGTTTTCTATCTACGTGACCTTACCGAAAGAACCAAAGAGAGCGTCGTAATGTACAGCGCATGGAAATGTGTTGGCAAAGTCAGGAAGTTGGCAAGTATGTGAAACCAGAAAAAACTCGAGGAAGAAAAGAAGAGAAAAGAAAAATTTGTAACAAAAAATGTTCCAAATTCTAAGAGATAAGCACTGAGCTGTCGCAAGCTACCAGGATTAGCACGTGAATATCAAAGTAAAAATGTGTGTGTGTGTTGAACTTGTTTCGCACTCTACGTAGCCAGCCATGCCACTCGGAGGTGCAGGGGAAGGACAACAAACTAAACACAAAAATCAATTTGAAATAAATGACTTTTCAATCTCGATGTTAAAGTGCATAGCCCCAGTGGCTTCCTAATGAACAAATGCGAGAACACGACACCAAAGGGGGCGTTAAAATGTCGCGATAAACGATAGCAGTCTGACAGTGGCAAGAGAAGACATTTATCATTATAATTGGTGAATAATAAAAATGGGCACTCTAAAAGGGGAAGTTATGTAGCCGCAGCACGTGATAGGGCACATGACCGAACAACTAGTGGAAGAATTTAACGACAAATAAAATAGATATCCCCCAGGAGAAAATGGTTTTGTCAGATGAGAATGATGCTCCAGAATCACCCATATTAGAGTAAGTAGCCACTGCCCTGAGCACTATAAAACAATGTAAAGCTCCGTAACCAGATGGAATTACTGCGCTCAACATCAATGAAGTGGAACCAGCTGTTAAAACACAATGATCTAACCTGTTCTCTAAATATTTAAACATGAGTGAAATACCGAAATCCATTCAAAAGGAGAAACAATGCAAATT